TATATATATATATATATAATGTATTTATATGTATATATAGATATATAAAGATATTGATAATATAAATGATAAATATCTGCTGCTCTATAATTGTTTTATTTTCATTTATTTCCATTATACACTATGTAGTATACACAATAACCTAGTAGAGCCTAAAACTCATCTTTTGCCTTTCGGAGTGCTTTGGTAAACATTTTTTCTAGCTTTGCATCATCATCAACTTCTAGTATAGCTTTCTGGAGTGCCAATTATTCTTTTGAAAGTGTAGCTATGTCTCGCACGTTGTCGCTATCAATGAACATCTGTACCCCCTTTAAAAATGCTTCGTTCATAGCTTCGTCGCTTACCTTTGAACGCGCCAATTCTTTCATGGCCAGTTCTTTCCTCTTTAGCTCCTTTTCATGTCTGGCGCTACGTGTACGTCCGGTTGATGTTGTGGACACACCGGAGTCAGTGCAATCAGTAACTTCTGTGTCTTCCCATTCAATCGCACTAGACATCCTAGTAGTTAGTGGGCCTCCTGCAACAGCACAGAGTGCTTCTAAAGCACCCTCCCCACGTGGCAATATGTATGTGTACAGCATCAGTGCACAAATCTTACCATTAAAGACATCCATAAATGTAGGCGCATGATGGCCAGATTTCTTCTTATTTGTTTGCACAATCGCAAAGCTAGATATGGCATCTTTCCACCAAGAGATTAGTCTGTTTCTCGCGGCTGTCTTGCAAATAATGTCTCCAAACATCTTTCGGGCCTGTGTTGTATATGTCATATCCATAGGATCGACTCGTCCTATTCGCTCAACCATGCTCTTCTGGGTAGCATTCAGGACATCCCAGTCTTTTTTCCACTGTTCGAGTGGAGGAGAGGCTGGATACTGTGACTTCTTTCTACGCCTTTCAGCTAACTTGTCAGCGTGCTTAGTTACTCGTGCTTCCAGAATAGCATCGTCAACGTTATCGTCATCGCTGTCAGAATCGCTTGTATCGGCTTCACCATCACTTAGAATTATTTCGTCTAAAACCTAGCATTTCTTCCCATCGTGTGCGTTCTTTATACGCCGATTCACGAAGCCATGCTGTATAATTTGGCTGCTGTGTGCGCCTCGTTACATTCTTTGTCTCTCCTTGAAAATCTGTCTCTCCTTGCGAATCCGATGAAGTACCTGAAGAGCTCGAAGATGCTTGAGAAGTGATCGCCATCGATTGATTCGACGGCGGAGTGCTAGCATTCTGCATAGGATAGGTTTCAATCCCTGAGGAAGTTGATGCTGTGTGCTGCGTCCCCATAGTATTCGGATTCGATGCTGCATTAGCCTGCTGTTGCGATGCCGACATGGTATAGTTTGCGAGTCAATAACACTTGTGCAATATGATTCCTTCATATTCTTCGTTTTATGTTTGTATTCGACTATGTTCCCTTTGTACTGTTTCCATAGATAATTGAGTGTGGATCTACCTATAACCGACAACTTCATATATGTGTGTGTGCACAATTGAATTGAGCGCTCAAAACAGTGAAAACACACAACATTTGACATCACATTTGTAAAAGGGCGGTTTTCCATTCTACCAATGAAATGTATTTACTTATTCTACGTCACAGTCGACAAACGTACTTTAACGGTACGTATTCTCGTTTTTCGTTAGCCTTTAACAACAAATTCTGAACACCTTGTTGTTTAATGAATTTTCGAAAAACAAAAACTATGTGTTCTCATTGGTTGAAAAAGGAGTCACACAGGAGTCCGGGACTCAGCACACTGAGCACAGCCCCACGGGCCCACAGGCCACAGCCGCAGGCTAAGCTCATTACGTTATGGGAGTACGAAATAGAAGTTTATCATAAACGCATATTTATTCAATTTTAAAACGCTATAACGATAATAATATGAACAGTAGGGCCTACCTAAATTGTTTCTAGGACTAGTTTGTTTTTTCAAAATCGTGAATACTTGAATATTTAGACCTAAAAGGTGCACCTGTGAGCATCCAAAGGACCCTATATGGAATAAAAGTTGAACGTAAACGTATTATAACCGTTTTATTGGAAACCGGTTTGATGCCAAGCCGCAGGTCATTGTTTTTTTCTAAGATTCGGCCACTCCAGTTGGCCCGTGCCAAGCCAGCTAAACCCCAAACCCTTTTTTATGTTTTTAAATAAATAAAAATACCTACTGTATTATCAAAAAAAAATTCTAAACAAAAACAAACAAAACCAAAAAGCAAGTATTTACTATTTAGATAAATAAATACTGTCAATACACCGGATCAAAGACAGGCTTTTTGGAGCTACTCAGGCTTAATTTAGCCTGTGGAATTTCAAGTTCCGGTTATTTAGAGCAACGAATTTATGCCCTAATAAGGGATTATTGATGAGGAGCAATCACTCTCAATCTCAAGAATAAAAGCTAGACTGAAGCCAGATCTGGTATCTTTTTCAGGACAGACCCACAGCTACAGCCCCACCACAGCCCCACAGCCCACAACCCACGACCATCAGCCAACTGCCCACAGCCCAGCACAGGGTTAACTCTGGGTGATATTTCGTTTTTATCATCTGGTCTCTGCACTCTCTAGTTGCTGGTGACAGTATTTTATCTTTGCATTTTGAAGGTGTCTCGAGTATCGACTCTTGACCAAAAGGGGCCTCGAGCCCGACTCAATAAAGTGAACTATTCGAGTTTTCACTTTTACTGTTTTATTTTATTTCATAGAACTTCTCGTTAGATTTATAAGCCAATGGGCATTTATGTGATCTTTAGCACCAATGATACAGCTATTGATTTGGTTTACCAGCACATAAATAAATAGAGAGCAGACCAGCAGTGTCCGATTATGTATCTTCTGAGTTCTGACCCACCAGATTCTGTTCTACCAGATCAGTGAAAATTCAATTAAATGGGGTTTAAATGTACACTGTACACTGAACACAACTGATCCATGTAATGCTGGATAACAAGCCTGATCCATGTACTGCTGGAGGCTTTTCAGAGGGACTGTAACCAGTATAAATTACCTGGTAAGCTTCAATACATTGACACTTTCCAATTCACATCGAAAAGCAAACATCATCTAATATTAAGCGAAAATGAAGTTCGCCATTGCAACCATTGCTGTCCTCGCCGCCACTGCTGCCGCCATGGGCCGCCGTCAGAACGACGAATGCTGCGCCGAGGTCCAAGCCGAGGCTTTTCTGGGAACAAAGTGCGCAGGTCTGGCGCTTCTTGATTTCACAACATTAGTTGATGGCCAGTGTTACGAGTTCTACAAGAAAGGATCGGATTCTTACTACACCGCAGCTACATGTGAAGCTGGCGTATACACAGCTAACATTTGGGTCAACGACGACGCCTGCACCCCAGACGCTGGTGTCTATCCTCTTGAACAAGGACTTGAGTGCTCCACTAGCGAAGTAACCGACGGCATGAGTGCTGCTCTTGAGCTTTCGTGCATTGACGCATAAATTTGCTTTGCCGAGAGATAGGCAAGAAACAATATATCAATAAAATAATTGCTGATACTGGTAAACTACTATGGCGTGGAGTTTTAATTCAAAATATTCAAAAACACATTAGTTGCGCCTATATCCTCAATTTGAAGTACATAACATAAAAATATATATTATATATATGTATATATACATATGTGTAATATGTATATATGCATATGTATATATACATATATTTATATACATATATATATATACATATATACACAAATACATATATACACAAATACATATATTTATACATATAATATACATACATATATTATACATATATATATATATATATATATATATATATATATATAATATATATAATATATATATATAGTACTACTACTATAATATACTATAATATATATACTATATAATATATATAATAAATAAACCTATATAACTACTTAATAATAATATA